TCCTCCTGGGACGGCCTCCCACCCAGCTCCGCCCAAGTCCTTGACCAAGTCCTTGAGCCGGAGCCGGCTCCCCTGCCCGCCCCCCCGAGCCCGCCCCGCACACACATCCAGCGGCCAGGAGCCCCGAGCACGGCCTCTCCTGGAGGAGAAACTGCGGGACATGTGAAGTCAGACTGAGCCTGAGTGGCTCGCTCAAGCCACTGCTGTGGCCATCTTCAGTGATGGATGGTGACTCCTGGGCTGCGGAGGCTCTCGCTCAGCGTCACTTTGAACCCTTCTGGCCGGTCTGTGTGTGACCCGCTATCAATGAACTGGCCTGAAGGCTTCTCTCTCTCTCTCTCTCTCTCTCTGTCACACACACACGCACGCACGCACGCACGCACATCCTTTCTCAGAAGCACGGAGTACACAGGAAGCAGAGGGCAGGGACAGTTCTACCAGGAGAGGGGACCCCAGCCCGGGGAGAGGGGACCGACTCTTCACTGCGATGCCCGGCGACACGCACTTACTTTCGTCAGCATAAAGCCCGGCAGGACAGAGGGTCACGCAGGTGTTCGTCTCCTGATGGTGGTAGAGTCCACGCCGGCAGGACAGGCACTGGGTCGGGCTCCTACCCGTGCAGGTCTCACACCCCCGGTGGCACCGGTGACAGCGTCTCGCTCCTGTGTCCCCGAAGTAGCCCAAGGGGCACGTGCTAACGCACTTCCTGGGGAGACGGGACCAGACGGGGCCTTTCCCACCGGCCTGCGCCCCGCCCTCGCCGCCGGAGTCCGGCCGCGGTGGCCGCGGTGCGGGTTACCGCTCGGCTGCCTCGGTCTGCGTCAGGGGCTCAGAGGGGGCCGAGAGGGGACAGAACCCGGGAACCCTTTCCCGGTCACCCCGGGAGTCACCACATGACAGTATCGGACTTGGAACTTTTAGCTCCGGCAGAAACCCAGTGCGGGCTGACTGCGGTCACACTGGCCACTGTGCGGGTCACGCCTGCACCCCGCCCGGGGCCCCGGATGCCGCAGCCCCGCCTGGGCATGAAGGGACGGGAGCGCCCCGTGTGCAGCACAGGGTCCTGGTCCCTAAACGCTTCCTAAGCGGGCACCAGGGGTGGCGGGGCTAAAAGCACAGCTCGCAACCGGCCCCCTCGGCGGGGCGCCCCAGCGCCCCACACGAGCGGACGGGACCCGGCCGTCACCTGTTGGTCTTGCTGTTCCCCAGGCTGAAGTGGACGCAGTTCAAGCACTGGTCTGCGCCGGCGCCATCACAGCCTTTGTCCCCACACTCCGGATGGCACACGCCTTAAAGAAACAAGCACGTCCTGTCACCCACAGAGGCGCCGTCTCAGTCAAGGCCAGTCCCCTGGGACCCAGCATCAGTATGTCACGGCCAAGCAGGGTCAGGAGGGGCCGGCAGGGATGGGGCAGGGGACACGGGGCTGGGGACAGGCTGGGCTGCCTGTGTCAGGACCAGGGCAGGGCTGGCCCCCTTCGGCCACCTCCTTCCTCGCTTCCTGTCCTGTCGTCCTCAGCGATGCGCCACCAGTGTCTTGCCCTAAGTCCCCCATTGAACTCTGGGGCCCTGTGTCCCTTTGCAAAAGTGACGGGAGAAACGCAGGGAGCTCAGCGGACTCCTGCCAGCCCCACGTTGCCGGGCCCTTCGGTCTACGTGTGCCTCAGGGAAGACGACGACCCTCAGGCTGGGCTGGGCTCTGTCAACGCGTGTCCTCTTCACCCTGGCCTGACGAACTTGACCACCGTGTGCCAAAGCTGGCCCCCCGCCCCCTCCCCCTCGAGGGAGTGGCCCCGAAAGGCTCCCTGGCAGGGCCACATGTGCCACCATGAGGCTTCTGAGTCTTCGGAAGGAAGAGAGAAGCTTCTGCGGGGTTCCAGCTGTGGGAGGGGACGGGAGGACGCTCAGAAGCGAAGAAGAGGCGATCTGCTGGCCACCAGCACTTCACGGGACACGAGGGAAAGACAGCAGGCCCCCTTCATGCGTCCCAGAGCCCCCCAGAGCGGCCGGCTTGCTCGGCGTCCCGCCCCAAAGGTTTATGTTCACGTTTCCAAAGCTGCCACTGGGAACCCCTCCCAAAGCAGGACCGCGCTGGGCCGCAGCGCCTGGTCTGGGGCGGAAGGACACAGGCTGTGGCGCTGAGGGCGGGTCTAGGCCGTGGCCCACGATGCCCAACGAGGTCGCAGCCTGCCCCTCCCCCTTCACCCCGCACCTCTCCCCCCGCACCCCGCCTCCCTTCCCCTGCTCCAGGCTGCCTGCCCTTTTGAGGTCAATTCTCATTTGGTTTGATCCTCGTCGGCCTCGGCCCAGCGTTTGTGGGGACAGCCTCAGAAGCCCGTGCCACCTGTGCTGAGGACACCCGAGCTTGGCTGCTGGGCTCCAGCCTCCCACCCAGCAGGTCCGCGGTGGCCTCATGACACACCTCCTGCAGCGACTTGTCCCAGAGCAGAGGGAAGCAGCGGGTCTGCCTCCCTCGAGAAAGAGACCCATTTCCTCGGCCCTAGGGGGAGTTGGGGCCCGCGCCGCTCCCAGCGCTGCGAAGGCGTCTGGGGAACGGTAAGTCCGTGCCCAGCGGCTGAGGATGAGAAAATGGACGACAGCGGGGTGGCTGGGAACCCGGAGAGTGTGAGTGTCCCCCACCCACACACAGAACACTCCGGAATGTCCCAGGACAGGCGCGGCCCCGCGGAAGGGCCCGCAGGTGCGCTTCCGGCCGCTGGCTCACCTGCGGGCTCCGGGAGCATCTCCGCGGTGGGGAGAGAGCCCCGTGTAAGGCTGGGGTTCACCCAGCAGCAAGGGCAGCAGAACCCCAAAAGGGCATCTAGGTAACCGGCCACGTCCAACCCTCCAGGCCCGGGGTGCGTAGCTAAGTCTCCGTACGCATCTTCCCCACCCGCATGACCAAAAAAAAGTGTCCTTTATTAATAATTACTGAATCTTGCCACAGTTTATAAACCACAGGGGAACGCGAGCAGATTAGTCTACACATGATTCAATGCTCCATTTTAAAGGCGAGGCAGGAGAAATTTAAAATGGGATCGACCGTAATTTATGCTTGATGTGTATCGGTGACGTTCTCTCCCTTATTACTTTTCATGCCCCGGAAGCTGTTAGATAACTCGAAACGTCCATAGTCTTAGATATCAGCCACGATTTATCAAGCGGCTGTAATATTTAGCTAAGGACAATATGCCCAACCAGAATGTTCGCTTCTCGCAAACCCCTGGGAAGGTTCAGAGGGAAGAGGCCTCTACGGAGCCCGCCGCCCAGGCTGCAGCCCCTCGGTGCGGCCGCCTGGGTGCAGTGAGCGGGAGGCCCCGAGCCCGGATGAGCGGGCTTTGCCATAAGGCGTGTAACTTCCTGTGAGATTCTGAAGCCACCTCGTGCAGCACCGGGTCGAGGTTCTGGAGACCCGGTCCGGGGCTTTACCCCAGCACCCCCTGCCGCCAGCTCCTTCCCGGCTGTGCTCACCACCCGTTAGGACCCTGGTCCCGCATTCCGGCTGCAAGGGCTGGAAGCGGGTGGCGGTGGAGAGAGGGTCAGGGGGCGAGACGTGAGGTGGGGGCCCGGGAGGCGCCTCATTAACGGGGGGGCAGGGCCGGTCCTGGCTGGGCCTGGAGAACCTCGATTTCCTGGCCTGGGAAGGCCGGAGGCACGTGCTGGTGCATGAGCTGGTCCGTCAAGTACCGGGACAGCTGTGCGAGCGCAAACCGCGTCATCAGCACGACTTCCGGTCCCGGAGGACCGTCCCGCCAAGCCCCACCTCGGTGACAGTGGAGACTTGGGATGTCGCCGGCCGGCCCGCAGGCCTCCGGTCATTACCTGCGTAGTCCCCCTCGTCCTCGGGAACCTCGGCCTGGGACAGTGACGGAGTGGCCGTGGGTGGCTCCAGCTCCGGGGTGGACGGCTCCAGCATCTGGGAGCATGACCCGTGGCAGCCGGAGGCGCCGTGCGGGTGCTCGGCGGTGCCGTACAGGACGAGGCTCCATTCTTTCAGCTTCCCTGGAAGACACAAGCCGGGGCCACCGACAATCAGGAACCTCCCTTGGGAAGCTCTGGGTGAACTCCGACCCCTCGGCCCGGCCAAAGGCCACTGCGGCTCACGAGTGAGTGACAGGTGCTGCCCGGCCTGAGCCCGCACCCTCCTCCCCCAGCTGGCCTCGGCAGCCCCACCCCCAACTCCTAGTCACCAAGGACCCGGGACACACACCTGCTGCCCCGGCCACCTGCTCCGCCCCCGGGTCTCACGGCGCCTCCCCCAACGGCCCGTCCCCGCGACCAGCCACGGCCTCCCCGTCTCTCGGTGCATCTAGCGGGTCGATCTTGGGCCAGGCCTCGGCCTGAGCCTTGTCTCACGTGCCCCCAAATGTGACAACCGGGCTGCACCCAGGAGTCCTGCTATTTGGACCTTCAAGCCCGGACCACGGGACAGTGGTCTTGTGAGGCGCCTTCCCTCCCGGCCAGCCCCGGCGGTGGGGACACTGGGTGGGGCGGCACGGGGGTGCAGGGATGACATCCTCGGAAACTGGCTGAAGGGCACAGACGCCGGACGAGGTGTGGGGAAACGGGAGGACAGTGGCTGACAGGAAGTCCCCAGCCATGCGCGGGGAGTGGCGGTGGAGGGAGGCGGCGCGGACCCCGCCCCCACCTGGCCCATCATCCCTGAGGTCACAAAACACGTCGGAACCGACGTGGTGTGTCTGGGACCGGCTCTGCCGCAGGCCACACGTCTGGGCCCCGTTTCCTGTGACGCTGCCGCCAGCGTTTGGAACAGCGGGACCCTGTGGAGGAGGTCCCTGCTGCCATTCTTGTGCCGAGGGGCTGACATTCGGGGTGACCCGCCCGGGGACGTGCTGTCCATGCTCAGGGACCATGCTCGCTGCACCCCAGCCATGAGCGCTTCCTTTGAAGCTCTGGCCACACGCGAAACGGTCACCCCAGCAGTGAGCCACCTCAGCGAAGCCTCGACTGGCCGGCGAGACCCGCCGAGGGACGGTGTCCTGGCCACCTTCGCATGTGCGTGGCTGGGAAACCCTGGCTTCCTCTCCATTTTCTCTCAGCGACCAGCGCCCCGGCTCCTCGCTGTCCGTGTGTGTCGCCTCCGCTCCGCCTGCGCTCGCAATGGCGGGCCGGGTGTCTGCAGGTGGCCGTCCAGAGCCGATCCGTGCCGCGTGTGCAGCTCGCCGGCACAGCCTCGTCGTCGGCTCCCATTCCAGGCATGTCGCAGACTTCCGAAATGCCAGAACGGGGGCCCCTCCTCATCCATGCGCCCCCCAAGCCCCGGGCTACGGCCCGCACTGCCCCACACGGGTGTGCGGAGGACGGAAGCACAAGTGTCCTGTGGTCCCCAGGCCACACTCCGTGCTCCTCTGAATGCGCTTGATCGCGATCCTGTTTTCAACCGTCGCCCTGGCCGGGGAGGGAGGGTCCCAGGCCCCCGACGCCTGCAGCACCCACACGTCCCCAGGCCAGGCCAGAGGCAGAAGACGCAGGTCCTTCAACTCGGAAAGCAGCCCCGAGCCGTCCCCCGGGACGCAGCCTGCCACAGGGCCTGCTCCTGGAGACGCGGGGGTGGCGCACGGAACATAGGCCCCCCTGAGTCGGCGACGATGCCGACGGCCGAGAAGCAGTTCCCACGGGCACAGGTGCAGAAACGCAGTCCCCGGCGACGAGCCGCCACCCGTTTTCGACTCCTTACGATCAAAAAACGCTCTGTTTCCAAACCACGAAGGGATCTGGGCGTTTGAACTGCCGAGGAACCGGCTGTGATTGAGGTGGCGGCATAATGGCTACAGGACAAGGACGGAGGAAGCTGTATGCTGTCGTCTGAGTCGAGGTTCACTTCAGGCTTATGCGGAGTGTCCCGAACCCCCCACTAAAGGTCCAGTCTCTACAGTTCGGTTCTCATTTTCGGATATAGTTTCGGTAGGACAGATGCACGGGGCTGCCCCAAGCTCGGGACCGGCACGTGCCCCGTGGGGAGCGGGGCGACCCCGCCAGGGCCAAACTGCAGCTCCCAAGCGCTCGTCACACGGAGAAGCCACTCCTTCGTTTCTCGTCTCTGTCCGTGTGAGATGATGGCATTTCACGACTTATGTAAGTTGAGTCACGTTTCAATAGAAGGTTCGGGAAACGAAGGTTCCGAGGACCCGGCAGGGGGCGCAAGAGGCGGGGACACTGGGGTCCGGAGCCGAAGAGGGACTTCGGTTCTATTTAAAAACCCACAGCCCACATCACCTTTTACATATATAAATTGTTTTAAAAAACGTAAGTTTAATTTTTAAAAACGCTATGAACGAAGTAATTGCATGGATCAAGGCAAAAAAAAAAACATTAAAAAGCTGTGGTTCTCAGGGCTTCGGATCTACATTTCTGGATAAGGAATAAAACTAAACGGCTCAACATCCAAAAGTAAAAGGAACATAGCAGAAGCCTCCCTCCGGCCCCATCCCCGGCCCCCGCCTGTCCCCGTGGCCACCCCGGTCACCCGTTCACTGTGCATCCTTTCGGACACGTTTTACTCTTAGCCAAGCAAATGTGGCCACACGCCTGGCCTGTCCCCTTCGCCGGCACACTCGGTACGCTGCACCTGGCCTGTCTGTTCGCGAGGCATCTTGGTGATCTTTCCGCCGCCGCATTAGAGAGGCGTCACATCACGTGCATAAAATTCCCTATCCACGGGCATTTAGGTTGTTTCCAAACGTTTGCGATTACAAGAAGTGCTATGTGACTCCGGCCACACGGGGAGGGACCCGGTGAGGTGGGCAGAGCAAGGACCGTGGAGCGACTCGATCTGGGTTCGAACCCTGGCTCTGCCACCTACCAGCCGTGCGACCTTGGGCAATAATCGCTTGGTCCCTCTGTTCTTCGGTCTCGTCGTCTATGAAGTGGGGATGACGCTACTATCTACCTCATAGAGTTGTTGGGGGGATTAAACGGTTTTATGGGAGCAAAACAGCCCAGTGGCGTGCAGGAGCTGGCACGCGAGTGTTCGTCACACGAAGTCTGATGAGTATATATCACGTCAGACCTTCTGCAACCTACGGTCCCAGCCGCGGGAGGGTCAGACACCGGTGAGTTGGTGGCAGAGACGAAAGCAGACACGGGAACGTGCCACTTGAGGGCTCTGGTCTTCAGGCTGAGCCTGTCTTCTGGCCGTGTCCACACTACCCGTCCCCCGGAATGCCCGGCACACCCTCGGACCAGGCCCCGGCGCCGGCTCCCTCCACGCTCGCCAGCCCCAGAGCCTGCACCCGCTTTGGGGAGACGAGACCCGTGGGTGCGGAAGAGCCAGCGCGGAAGCAGCGGGTCCACACGCGCATCCCAGGCCTGCTGCAGGCTGGACCCCGAGTCTGCCCCGGCAGAACTGCCATCGGAGGCGGGGATATCAGAACGTCTGTCTGCTCTGGACAGAGCATATCGAGACCCCCGACGTGCACGTTCAAGGTCCCCGGACAGAAACCTCGCTAGTGCCGTTAATTCCTTACTTTCTAGGAGGGGGTCTTAGAAGATGGCCCAATCCAAACTCTCTGGCTCTCTCTCCGTCGGATTCCTGAGACTGGAGAAGGAAGAATGGGAAATGTACCACGTACGCGCTTGGGGACCCTGCCACCAGACCTCCGCCTGCGGATGGCACCGGCACAGCCCGGGCAAGCGTGCTCGCCCTAGAGGCATTCCCCAGGGGCAGCGCAGCGCTGCTCACGGGGCTGAGTGTGCAACGAGCAAACAGGACTGTCGCCATCGTTCAAGGAAAGAGTCGCGCTCGGGGTAGACTCGGGCTGAGCGTGCCGGGAGGGCTGAGCCTGTCTGAACGAAGCACCTAAAATCGTGCAGAGGGGAATTTACAGCTGGGGACGAAGCAGGTGGAAGTCGGGGCAGGTGTTCTTGGGCTGATGACTCTGAGCTGATACCTCTGAATTCCCGGGTTTTGTTTGGCCGTGAGAAGTTATGAACGACAAGGAGTTTATTCATTCTGTCGTCTCCACGTTTAAACACGCGGGGAGAAATGCTTTAGTCAAAACACAGGGAAGAAAGAGAGGCCTAGAACGATCGAGACGTCGTCTTCTCTGGCGCTCCGGCGTTGAGTGTCCCCTCTGAGGCCCAGGCGCCCGGAGTCGCGCAGCTTACGGAGTTCAAGGCAGAGGTCTGGGGGGAAGGACTCACGTCGGCCCATTTGTAAAAATACACAAGAACACTTTAGAGGGCGAGCTTCACGGTGTGTGGACCACACCCCGATAGGCCGGTACGTGGAACGCTGTACGCGCGCCCAGAAACACCCACCTGTGCTCGACACCTTTAATGCGACATTAAGAACGCACTCAAAATCCACACTACGGGAGGCGAGGGGGAGGCAGGTAAGGGGAACTTAGGGCAAGGCCTGGGACTGGAACGGGAGAATGCACATACGTGTGTGTCCCCATACGTGTGCACACACACGCACGCGCGCCCTCAGACGATGGGACGATCTTCCCTCTGGCCTCGTAGCCATAAAAACCCTCAAACGTGATCTTTTGGTGCCAGGAAAAGGATCTGAGAATCTCAGGCTCCAACGTTTATGTCGGCGGAGGCCACAAGCACCGGGAACAATCACGCGTATCGTACGTCGACGCACGAAATGGCCCATTCCCCGAAATTCTCAGCTTCGTGAAGTCATAAAGTGTTCGGAAGGTCAAATGCTACGACGCAGAGACAGCAGCAGCCCTTGGCCTCGGCCGTCTGCACCTCTCCGAGCCTCTCCCCGGAGACGGCCTGTTGGCACACTTGGAGCAGACCGTTCCAGCATTTTCTACCACATCGCTGGATTAGAGGCCCACGTGCTACGTCCTAGTCCTGCGATTTCAGACATCGTCGTCCGGTGACTTCTCGCCCTGGACGTGAGCATCCGCACTGTCCCCCACCCTGACGCTCACGTCCCCCGCGTTCCCAAAGCTGGGTCGGTGTCCGCTGCCGTCTCCCCAACTCTGTCCCATGTCGCTTCCTGGGGGGCGGTTTCCTTGGCCCTC